TGTTTACCTCAAAGGACCAGCATGTTAATGATAAGAATGAAGTTGAACCGTCCTTCTAAAGATGGTTCTCCAACAAAATGAAACAACAATAGTGCTGAATGCAAAAATAAAAAATCACTAAATATTAATTTAAAACAATGTGTCTAAAAGTTTTTTTTTCTTAGGGTCCGATGGTTACTCCAAATCTTTTATGGAGTATTAAGTAGTTCGATCACTATTTATGATTTCAAAAAAATAAAATAAAATAAAATAACTTCATATTGCACCCATGCAAAAAAAAAAAATAAATAAATAATAATAATAATAAATAAATCAATCAATTAATAAGCTAACAAACGAGCTTCTTAGCTATTCAAATTTAAAGTAAAAATAAGCGATATACCAACAAAATGAGAATTCTTTTTAATAGAGGAAAAATTCAATTGATAAACAATATAGAACTAGTGTTCCAAGTAAAATAAGAATAAGTTGAAAGAATTTACCTTTCAATGTATTTCCGATTCTACTCGTTTCAGTTTGTGATTTTGCTTCTTTTTTACCATACTTGATGTTAGCAGTTTTGAATATTTTATTTAATTTTGAACACATTACATATTTTACACAGCTGATTTGTTTATGCCGCATCCTATGCCCCAAGAGTTTTGGATGATCCAGACATCTTCGCATTCAATTTCTGTACACCCAACTATCACTACAACATGATAAGAAACTTGGCCCACCTTCCCTTAGTTTTGGGGCCTTTATAAATGCCCTATAAATAAAAATAAATAAATAAATTATTCACATATCAAATTAATAGTTTAAAGAAAAACATTGTTTACCCCTTTACAATAGTCAAGTGATATATCATAGATAATCCATGCAACAAGTGGTCCCTTTGAATTTCTTCCTCGTTACCAGGAGTATTTCCTCATACCCATCAATGAAAATTGTCCTCGTTTTGACTTTTATTGCTTGCCTGGTAAAAGAGTAGATCAAATATTTGACAAGAAATACTCTTTGTAAATAAATTAGCCAACTGATTGGCAGGAGATTATTGAACAAGATTTTTCTAAGCAACTTTATCATGTACAAAATGGAAGTTCTTCTCAATATGCCTTGTGCAGTTTTTCCTAGTCGTGAGCTAAGTGAGAATTTCCTCCATGATAAAATGAGCTTCAACAAAAGTTTAATCTGTCAATTTCGTCAACAAAGGGTAAAAAGGTAAATTCAATCTATAATGCACTCTCATCAATTAGGCTCTGCATTCACATTTATGGTTCTTAATTTCAAAGTTTTTATAATCTTATTTAGAAAATATATATATATATATATATATATATATATATATATATATATATTAATCAGACCTAAAAATAAATAAATAAATAAGTTTTTTGAAAACTTCCGTATATGGCACATTGAAGTGTCCACAATCGATTGAGGCACATGGGGATCGATCTAGATATACTTATGCTCAATTCTAAGCATATGGGAAAGGGATCTGTTAAAGAATTTAAATATAAAAGTTACACCCATTATAGTAGCTTAATCTTTTGGAGTATGGTTTCTAATCTTTTGGAGTATGGTTTCTAATAGAATGGTGGGGTTAATGATGGGAGAGGAAGCTCAATACCTGAGATTATTGCCAATCTTCGTTTCATATGGGTAGTAGCTCATGATTGCCAATTTGCATTGTCCTGTGGCTCATGTTTGTTGGAGCTCATTTTTGATTTGTTTGGTATTCATTAGGTTATGCCTCGGACATCTCGGGAATTGCTGGATATTTGGAGGGGCCAATGAGTGGGGACTCAGGCGAGAGTCTTCTGAAGGGTAACCCCCTTTTGTGTTTGACGGAACATTTGGAAAGAGCGGAATAGAAGATCTCTTGATGGGAAGGAGTCTTCCATTGGAGTGTTGAAATTTTCTATTATTTGTACTCTTTGTCAGGGTTGGGGGAGAGATTTTTCCTCCATTGAGGATATTGTGGACTTTTTGGGCTCCTTGAGATCATAGTTTCAGTTTTTTGTATAGCTTGAGACGCGTTCCTCTTTTGACCGCCTTTTAATACATTTTACTTATAAAAAAAAAAAAAAAAAAAAATGGGTAGTAGCTATCTAAAGCTACTCCACTCCATTTTTATGGATATAATCCAATGCAGTTTTAGGCCATCCTCCATACCGTGTATCCCAATTGATGTCATCAAGTAACTCCTGTACTTATCAATGCAATGTGATGTAGCAAGCTATGTTGGCAACAAAGGCCCAACATGAATCTGAATTCAAAAAAATAAGCATAAAAATACAATAAACTAATCAGTTAACCAAAAATAAACAAGATTAAAGCCAAAGGAAAATTTCAATAGAAACATAATAAGAAGCAATTTACTGCAATTATCTCCTTGGTACTGAACAGGGGTTATTGATCCCTTTTGTACCCAATCTATCTCAAGACATTTATAGAAATTCTGTAGCAAAATAATATTTAAATAAAGACAAAACTGTAAATTAAAAAATAATTAAGAGACATAAAAACTTGTTTCTGTAGGCTGCCCCATATTGAATTAAAGGAGTTAAGCCGAGAAACTGTTCTACTACGAACCGAAGATAAGGCGTCTTCAGCAAAAACAAAAACCAAAACAAAAGTATTTCCTTAGTAACTCAGAAAGAGAACTTAATAATGCTGTTGTGGAAAAGCAATCATATCTGAGATTAACAAGCCACTTACTGCATTTCTGTTTTGGTCCTTTTGGAAGAGGAAACACATTTTGTCTATGTTGATCATTCGGAAACAAAATATTGTTGTTGTTGTTTAGAAGGCTAACAAATAATGAAAAACTATAACTTATAAAATAATAAATAAAAAAAGAGAAAAAAATTGTTTACCTCTAAATGTGAAAGATCAGGAATATATGGAGCAATCATTCTAGAGATGGGTTTCCCAAAAATTGAACTGATCTTGGGGGCTGCAAAAAATAAATAAATAAGTTTTTTGAAAACTTCAGTATAGGGCACATTGAAGTGTCCACGATCGATTGATGTATACTGATGCTCAATTACAAGCATATGGGAAAGGAATCTGTAGAAGAATTTGAATATAAAAGTTACAGAGATGGTTGTAACTTCCAGAGACAATAGTGCTGAATGCAAAAATAAAAATTCAGTATATATTAATTTAAAACAACGTGTCTAATTTTTTTTTCTTTTTCTTAGGGGGTCCGATGGTTACTCCAAATCTTTTATGGAGTATTAAGTAGTTCGATCCCTATTTATGATTTCAAAAAATAAAAATAAAATAAAATGACTTCATATTGCACCATGCAAAAAAAGAAAAAAAAAAAAAAAGAAAAAGAAAAAGAAAAAAAGAAATCAATTGATAAACCGTTCGCGCGGTTTTTGGTCTTACGCCATTCGATAGACTCTTGCGGGTGTGCCAGAGTATTTGTACAAAACACTCAAAATGTTGATTCAAACACTAGCCTATTCCTTTTTTCGATGACTGACTCTCAGGCGATTGTGTGGGAGAGAGACTAGTAAGAACTCCCAACAAGATTCTTTTATGCCTTGATGCAAGGACTTTTTATCAAGTGTTAAAAGAAATAAAAATACAATGATTGAAGAAATTGGAATGAACATGCTGAATGGAAATTGACTTTAAATGAAAAGGGCTGAATGAAAATAGATGGCAAGAATTCAATCGATTGCTATTGAATTGAAAACAATTTGAATTGAAATGTGTATAATTAAAATGAAGTAAAGCAAAATGCAGTGGCAAGAATTTAATCAATTACCAGTAAAGGAAATGACAAGAATTTAATCAATTGTCATTGGATTGAAAACATTTTGAATTAAAATAGCATAATTAAAACTGGCAGAATGGAAATTGACTGAAAGAAATGCAATAAAACAAAATGTCGCAGCAAGAATTTAATCAATTGCCAACTAAATGCAATGACAAGAATTTAATCAATTGCCATTGAATTGAATGACATTTTTAATTGAAAGGTGCATAATTAAAACAGGTAAAATGGAAATTGCATGGAAAGTAAAGGAATGAAATAAACTGGTTGAATTAACATGACGCGAATCTTATCAAAGATTGGCCATTGAATCCGTTTGCTTGAAAGAAAATGACTGATAATGTAAATAGCATAATTAAAGCATTGCAAAAGAAGAGTAAACTACTTGAACTTAAATTCTTTGAATGAAAATTGCCGTAAAGAAATTGATAGAAAATGACGTAGAGTCAATTGAATAAGAAATGCATGTTTTGTGGATGGTGCTGGACCAATTGAAATAGAATTACAATACATCTTTTTATAGAAGTTTTAAATCAACTTATTTCCTAATTAATTGCTCTGAAAATCCTCCTTTCCTTGATTTTCTTTATTCTGTGATTCAAACTAGGTCAACAACCCAGTAATCTTTTGTTTCTTATCTTGTCTTGCTTCTTGCTTCAGTAGAAAAAACCCTAGTTGCAAACTCTCTTTGATCTAGTCAAATGTAAGTTGCTAGAATGCTGCTGAAAAGTTGCCAATACCTAGCAACTTCCGTCCTTAAACTTTGCACCCGTAGTTTCCTTAAAAGGCCCAATAGCCATTTGTAGTTTTTACCCATATATTCACACGGCTGCCCTCCTATTTCATAGGGATTTAATTTCCTTTCTCTTAACTAAATCCATATTTCATAGGGATTTAATTATTTCACCCTCACAGTAATTCCTTTAAAATGAACTACCCATTTGAATTTAACTTAAAATCTCGATTGTTATATTCTAGCAACATCCTTATTGATAAGGTGGCTGAATATAACTCCCTAAATTTTTTCTTAATGTTTCTTTGTTGGCCGATTTCCTTTTAAAACATAATAAACACTTGTCGGCTCCTCATTGGTCCATGTCACCACTAAAGTGGCTACCAAGTTTTGGTGCCAAAATAAACTAACAAACCTTAAAGTAAAAATAAGCAATATACCAACAAAATGAGATAATTCTTTTTAATAGAAGAAAAATTCAAATGATAAACAATATAGCACTAGTGTTACAAGTAAAATAATTCTTTTTATTCCACTTCGGTTTTTGCTTAGCAAAGTGCAGATTAAAATTTTAATTTTGAAGAAAATAAAAGCTCACACCAAATCACTAAAAACACATGCTAAAATAAGAAGAGAAAGAAACAGAGCAAGTTTAAAGAAAGCGGATATATTAAAAAAAAATTAGAAAAAAAAGGAGAAGCAGAAGAACCAAAAAAACGTCAAGAAATCATTTCACGTATTACGAAATTTTGACGAATATTACAAAGAATGTGATTTGGGGGACACTGTAAGAAAATTTCTCTATTTATGGTTTCCTTTTTGCAAGTTTGACAGGAACTTGCTTTATTTATGATGTGAATATGCTATATGCTTAAATGCTTCATAGAATGAAACAAAAATTAGTTGAAAATCTTTGCTTTTAAAAGGGTAATGCCCCAAGAATGCTTATTGAAAAAGTTTTGGATTGTGATTCCAGATTAGTCTAAAAGACATGTAACAATAACTTCAAATCCTCTTCCAAATTTTGATTCTAAACTTTTAAAAGACAAGATGTAATTTCAACATTTAGTTTCATTTAACATCAGACAAATCGAACCCAAAATAAGAAAAAGTTTTTTTTTTTTTTTTGGGAGGGAACAAAACAAAGTTCAAGAGGGATATTTATTTATTTTATTTTTATTTTTCACATTCAATGGAGACCTTTGGGCTGTCAAATTTTGTTCACAAGCTCTCACACCCTTGTGAAATCTGATTGAAATGGATCAAATTGACCATGTGAAAGAATTGAAACAAACTACACAAAAAGAAGATCAAGTTGGTACCCAGGACAAGCAATATGAGGTGCCCAAACTAAAAATTTTAATGCACTGGTGTAAGAAAAAGAACAAATCAATTGATAAAGTGACAAACGTTGTGATTATCTACTCAAATTTAAAGTAAAAATAAAGCTATATACTAATAAATGAGATATTTTTTTTTAATAGATGAAAAAATCAATTGATAAACAAGATAGCACTACTAGAACAAGTAAAATAAGTTGAAAGAATTCACTTTTTTTTTTTTTTTTTTTTTCCCGATTCCACTCATTTCAAGTGGTCTTTAGTTTCTTTTCCAAAATTTAAACCTGCATCATTAAAATTGAGGCACATTAACATATTAGAAACTTGACGTTGAAATGTGAATATTTTATTTCATAATTTATGCTAGACTAAAATAAGAACAGTAATATACAACTACATAGACAAGATGCAAGATACACACAGAACTTTTGTACCAAGATTTACGCCAGAAATTTAATTTCAAAGATGCAGATAATACAAGATTCATAGATTTGTAACAAAAAATAAAAAATAAAACCAACTTATACATTACATGCATAGAGATGATTGGCTGGCTGTTGGAGAGAAACTTTTGCTTGTGGGAAAGACATTTTTTAGAAGCAGCGGACAGATTAGGTAGGTGGGTGAGAGATGAGAAGTAACTTTTGCATCTTAAAAGGGCTTCTAATATTCCTTTTCTGTCAAGAACATCCTTATCTAATTATATTGTTTACGCTGTTGGTGAGATTCATTTGGGAAAGGCTTTAACTTTGAAGAATGTCATTATGCCAACCACTCATATCAGTGGGAGAATTCTCCAAATCCCTTTCCATGTCGCATAGATAATACTCCAGGTCTGGAAAGTCATTAAACTTACTAACCATATTGTATTGATCTTCACTATTATGAAAAATAGGACAGTTTTTAACAAAAAACCATAGTTCTTTAAGCTCGACAACTGTGTTGCATGAGGGCAGTATCTTCAAAATCATTTTCTCGAACAGTATAATACAATTGCCATTCAACTCACAAGTATTTTTCTCAATCTCTTCCATTTGGCTCATTGCATCAGCGGCATTTTGGACCAACTTCAACAAATCAGTGATGTCACCCCGCAAAGCATCCAAAGGATCTGCTTTGTAGACTGGTATAAACAGTTTGATATCTCAAGAATCTAGGACGGTAACCCCGTCCAAGAGATTACCGTAATAACCATCTACCTCTATAAAATTATCCAAGCCATTTATTATCCCTCTGCAAGTCAAAGAAAATTAGATTATGGATGGACACTTCTGTAACTAAACTGGTGAGTCACATGGACAAAAAATGAATAAAGAAACGGTTTAATTACTTGAATGCTTTCACTACTAAGACCTTGAAGAGAGATAAAATAAACACTATACTTGAAAGCTTTGTAAAAACGATCTCCGGGCCCAATGTATAACCCTGTCGTGGGGTCTTCAAGGAAGAGATCTGGGGGACCATTACAAAGCCAGGTAGAAAATGGTCGGCCAAGTTTCTCAATTAAAAGACTACGCAACACCTTTCTGTTTGATTTTGATTCAGAATTCAGCGTCTCAATTTCCAGACTTGTCTCCTCGTGACTATAATATACCTTGGAAATGAATTTATTTGCATACTTCCTTAACTTTGTTTGCAATACGTCTTCCCTAGGAATAATCATGCTATGAATAACTGAGATATCGACAAGGTGTTGTTATGAATTCTGTAAGTTTGCAGTTTCATTTGTGGCATCCCTATAGTATGATGACCTTTTAGTTTCTGTCCAATAAACTTTCCCTGTCCTTACCCTGGGAAAATTTGTTGTGACATACAAGAAATTAAAAAATAAAAAATAAAAAATAAAAAATAAAAAGAGAAGAAGAGGAAGAAGAAGATAAAACTACACATTTAATACCATTTTCCAGATTATAATTTGGCTAGCCGGACATGAAGAAGAGAGGATGGGGAAGAGAAGCCTGAAATGTTAGTTTTTTATAAAGCATTGTATTAAGCTTACTATTCAAACATTCAGCATAATGTTATTCAAATACAAATCCAAAATCATTGAATACAGAGTGTTAGAGAAATCATACAACATGCCGAAGTTGTGATCCGTGTAAGGATCCTTCTAGCAGAATGATGAAAGGAAAGCTTGAAAAAGGGAAGTAACAAATATACAACATAAAACTTCAGAATGCAGTATCTACAATTGATAGGGCAAGAAATTCATGTGCATAAGCTTACAATAATAATTACAGTTTATTGAATGTTCCTAGGGATGGCAACGGGGGCGGGTTTGGGCGGATGTACCCTCCCCTGCCCCCGCAACCATTTAAAAACCCCGCCCCCGTCCCCACCCAAAACCGCAAAAACAGGGGAACTTTCCACCCCATCCCCGTAACCGTAACATTTTTACCCCGTGAGTACCCGCCTTGCCCCGCCCCGTTTAAGACCATAATTTAATTAATATATAGTGGTAAATATATATATTGATAAAATAAGGGTACTTAAGTAATTTGCCTATGTAAACGGGGCGGTGCAGGGCAACCTACCCTTGCCCCCGCACCAAACCCGCGCAGGTTTTTATTGCATCAAACCATCCCCACCCAAATAAGCAAAACGGTCCCCCAGAACCGCCAAAAACAGGACCGAGTGAGGCGGGTAACCGCGGGGGCAGGTCAAATTGCCATCCCTAAATGTTCCTATGGCTGTCATTAATCAGTTGCAGAAGCTCTGTAGGAATTTTATGAGGGGTGGTATGAAAAATTCCAAGAAAATGCACCTTCTCAGCTGGGATTTGTTTTCTAGAAGTAAGGCTGAAGGGGGCTTATTTTGATCCTGCTTTGCTGTATGAGTTTCAAACTTTCAATACATTACAAAAATAGAAGTTTAACATTAATAATAAATAAGTCCAAAGTTGACCAAAATAACAAGCTGGCGTGGTTTTGATTGTGGCTTCATTTGATGTCTTTGATTTTCTCTTTTTCACCCTCCCAAATTTCCAATACTGTCTAAGAAGTATGTGTGAAGAAAATGAAAAATATGCTCAGTCAAAGAACAAATAAAAAAATTGAAGATAATGAACATGTCCAACAATTGCAAAAAGTGAAGAAAGATCAGAACTTTAGCTACGAACGCGAAAAAAGAAATGAGAAAGCTGAGGAAGGCAAAATGGAATTTTGAATCTCATGTTACATGTTTTCTTGAATTTGATATAAGGACAACGTAGAATTCACATGAATCCTTCTCCAAATTGTATAACTGTGCTGAGCTTATTTTAGTGTGTAAATATTGGTTTTTTTTTTTTTTTTTTCTTTGCTTACATTGAATAAATAACCAAAAACAAATAAAAAATCTCAGCAAAATGGTTTTTTTTTTTTTTTTTTTCCTTTGCAAGCTCATTTAACGTTTTTCTAAACAACCAAAAACAAATAAAAAATCTGTAGTACCGTACTCATGTCAACTGCAGACCGATGTTGATGATGGAGGACGGTGGCATGACGTTGACTACAGAGGAAGGATTTAGAGGCGTTGGTGTGTATCGACGATTTGAAAGAGAGGAAGGGTTTGGAAATTAAAGATTGAAAGAGGACGGCGCTTTGGACCAACTTTTGGTACTTCTAGTAAGGGTTTAATATGTTTAACATGTGAAATAAATTATTTATTAAAGAAATACTAATAAATATTTAATCAAGAAAATTATTAATTAATAAAGAAAATTATTAATTAATAAAGAAAATTATTAATTATTTATAAAATGAAATAATTAATAATTTTACATGAAAGACAGAAAGAGTGACTAAGGGAGGCGCTTTAGACCAACTCTTGCTACTTATAGTTATGGTTTAATGAATATTAATAGTGTGTATATATAATTATTAATAGTGTGTAAACATACTTATAAAATGAATTATAATTTAGGGTAAAGTATACTAACACCCCCTGAGGTTTGATAAAAGGACACTCAGATGAAAATTAGGCTATTTTGGGACAAAGACACCCCCTTATCAAATTTACAATCCAAACAGAGCTTAAAATTCGGTGAAAAGTCAATTTTACCCTTCACTATTTAATTAATTATAATTATAAAATATCAAAATAATTAAATGACTAAATTACCCTTGCCCCCTCTCTCTAAAATACAGCGTTTCTCTCTCTCTCTCTAACATACATTGTCTTTCTCTCTCTATACACAGCCACAAAGAATAGGCACACTCTCTCTCTATACACAGCCGCAAAGAAAAAAATAGACCAAGAAAGAACAACACAACAAATTTCTTCAGTGTATATATATGAAACGAGTGGTATATATATATATAAACACAGAAAAAGAAAATTGGGTATGGCTTTTGGGTGTTAATTTTCAGGTGGGATGGTGTTGAAATGAGTGGTGGTCGGTGGTGGTGGTCCGGTGATGATGCTGGTATATAGGGGTGTGGGAGCGAAGCCAATTGTGTGGCGGTAGTGGTGGTGGTGGGTGTTGTGGCGGCGGCGGCTGCAGTGGGTATTGAAGGAAGAAGAGGATTGTAAGCGCGTGAAGTCCACGCGATTTGCAGATCTGAAAACCACCGTCAGCGCCTTTGTTGCAACCACCGTCGCCGCCTCTGTTACAACCACCGTCGACACCTCTGCCACCGACGACATCATCATCATCTAATTCACCAGTGTTATTCTCCTTGACGACAACTCGTCGCCGCCCGTCGCCGCCTTGTATGTGTGGATATATATATGTTTGTATCTGTATACACACGCACACATATATGTGTGTGGATATATATGTGTATATGTGTGGATATATATATGTGTGTATGTGTCTATATGTGTGTCTATATATATGTGTGTGTGTGTCTATATGTGTGTATATATATGTGTGTGTGTGTCTATATGTGTGTTGGTGTTGCAGGAGGAGAGAACCGAGAGAGAAGAGAAAAGGAAAGAAATAGATTAGTAAAGTTAGAAAGGTCATTTTAACATTTAAATTAGTCAATTTAAAAGTTAAAGGGCAAAAATGTCAATTCATTACCATTGGGGGTGTCTTTGGTAAGTGTATCAAACTTGAGGGGGTATCTTTGTCCCAAAATAGGATAAGTTTCATTTGTCTGTCCTTTTAGCAAACCTCAAGGGGTGTTAATGTACTTTACCCTATAATTTATATGTACTTACTGTTAGAAATTGTGTCTCAAATTCCTATTCTAATTAGGATTCTATTTTAGAGTTGTATTCTATTAGGTAATTTCTTATTTGACAAGTCTTTGCCTCTAAGGAATTGTAATCATTGTCCAACAAGGAATTATGTTTGCAACTCTATAAATAAGTACATATGTTTTAGGTTGAGACTTATGAGATTGAGAGAGATGTAATCTGTAATACCCCGTATTTTATTAAAGAGTTTAGTTTATTTAAAAAAATTCAATTATGTGAGGATTTCTTTACTTATTATTGTGCATGCTACATTATTATATTAAGTTCATTTAAATGTGCATGTAAATTAATTGTGTATGTTAAAATAGTAAATTTATTCATTTAATTATGCATGTATTATTATTAATAATTTTATTTGTTGGTTATGCTTATATTAATCATTATTAGTTAATTAAAAGTATTATATTTGTGTTATAAAGTATTATGATGATATAATGTATTATTTTGTAATAATAATAATAATAATTATATTAGTTTAATAATAATAATAATTATAATATAATAATAATAATTATAAAAGTTTATTAATAATAATATTAGTAATAATAATAATAATAGTTATAATAATAATAATAGTATTAAAATCAATGTCATGATGAAATTAGAGATTAGGATAGAATTTCATTAATGTGTATGGGTAGACTTAAAGCCATATGGTTGGGAATGTGGTTAATTAAATACAAAAATAGATATTTGTAATATTTATATTATATAATTTGTATATAAATTAGCTAGCCTACCTTAGAAGGAAAGAAAGGGAGTTAAACACAAATTATAAATTCTAGTGAGCCATTGTAAAAGTGTGGAAAGGAAGAGAGAGAAAGAAAGGAACTTGGACCGGTGTAGGGAATTTACCCGACTACGCGCAACCGGCGGATTTATTTTAAATCCAAAAAGGCAAGTTATTATCTACTTTTCCCCTTTGAATTAATAAATTAATTGTTTAGTTTATTTTTATGCATAGAGCCAACGTTAGGAGGTTAATAAATTATTAATGTTATTTTATTAAATTAATGAAATTTTAATTATATAGGATGGTATATATTTATTTAATATCCTATGAAATTAATAATGGCCGAAAATAATTAAATAAGGCGTTAGGGATTTTTCTAGAATTTTCTAGATTTTTCCGGGGCTTTTCTGCAATTTCCGGCGACCTTCCGGCGAGTTTTCCGGTCGTGGGCAGTGGGGGAGATGACCGGAGTAATCCGGTGTGATACGGCGCACTATAGTTACTGTGCGCATGGATATCCGGCCGTTAGATGAGTAACTAATCAGCAGATTGATTCGGTGTAGTCCAATACACCATAAGATGGTGCACGCGCGAACCAGGACCCTTGGATTAGAAGAACTAAGATAGAATTATCCAGTGTAGCGCACCCACAACAAGTCCATGCAACCACCGAATCAGGAGCCGCTGCGTCAGCAAGGTACCATTAGTGCGCGCGTGGCAGCGCGTGCGCGCGCGTGGAACGCTCCAGACGCGCGTGGGAGCGCGTGCGCGCGCGTGGCTGATGCCAGACGCGCGTGGAGGCGCGTGGGAGAGTGCGAAAGCTTGGCGGCGCGTGTGGGGAGCTCTGAGAGGCGCGTGGGGGCGCGTGAAGGG